CAATGCGAACTGTATGCACTGAGGTCGGCAAAGAGTGTTCACAGTGTGCAGGCACTTTGGACGTCGTGGCACTTGGACGTCGTGCAACAGTCAAATATTGATTGGACGTCGTGGCACTTGGACGTCGTGCAACTGGCAGAGGCTTTGGACGTGGTGCAAATGATACTTCTTTACAATTCTACAGTGCGCTGTTTCACGACGTCCAAGTGCCACGACGTCCAAAGCTTGTAGAAAGACTATATTTTTGGCAGTTACTGTACTTTTGGACGTCGTGGCACTTGGACGTCGTGCAACAACTCAAAAATTATGTTTTGGACGTCGTGGCACTGAAAAAATATTATTGGACGTCGTGGCACTTGGACGTCGTGCAACACTCCCCAGGTTACTTGTAATCTGATCAAGAATAAGAACAGGATGAGAAGAGGCCAAATTTGACCCACTGAGGGAAGAGATATTCAGATGTGTGAAACCTTTAGGCTTTATGTTAGCCACAGAAATTCCTTTGATATCAGGGACGCCAACAGCAGAGCGTTTTACATTTAATATATTTGCACAACTTTCTGAAATAAGTGTGGTTTGTGAGGCGCTATCCAAAACAGCACGCAAAACGAGACCGTTTCCTTTGTGAGTAGAAACTTTCACTAAAGCGGTTGCAAGCAATACAGTATTATTCTGAGTACGAGCCAAACCCATAAGAGTATTCGATTGATTGACATGATCAGGGGACTTAACATTACTTGTACAGGGATCAGTGTTTGCTTCATTCAATCTTGTTTGAGCCTGGTCAAAATGCAGGAGAGTATGATGTCGTTTTGAGCAAGTAAGACAAGTCTGTTTAGATTTACACATTTTAGGTTTGTGCATACCAAAACAGTTTACACATAAGTCTTTACTCTTAATGAAGTCAAACCTGTCTTTAGTATTAATGCCCCCAAATTTAGGACATTTGAATACTATGTGAGTAGTAGCGGAGCAATAAATACATTTAAGCATTCGATCTTTGTCGTTAGACGACAACAATACAACATTAGCCCTGTTAGTTTTAGCCTTATTCGCAAAATTAGATTTGATTGGGTGGTTGCTCTTATTTTCATTTGGTGAAAATGTTTTGTTCGAAACAGAAGCTAACTCCGCAGCCTCCTCTTGTGTACATTTATTTTCCAAGAAAAGAATTAATTCATTGATAGTAGGGACCTTTTTTGAGTCATTACGTGAGTGCTCAAACTTAGTGCGGAGAGCAGAATCAAATTTACGCAAAATATGCGTTGTCAAAAGCAAACTTTCATTAGCAATATCATGACCAAGAGTTTTTAAGGCCTGGTAGTTTTCATTGTAAACTGAGAGAAATTTCCGCAATTGTTTGACAGTAGGCCTAGTAAGTTGAGGCAAATCTAAGATATTGTTAGTATGAAGAGTGATTAGCAACCTTGTATTGTGGTATCTATCTATCAGAGATTGCCATGCTATAGCATAGTTCGCAGCATTAAGAGGCAAAGATTTCAACAAACTCAATGGCTCATCTGAGAGACAGGATAGCAAATATGTAAATTTTTCTATGTTACTGAGTGACTCATTAGTATGAACTGCATTTTCAAATATGCTATGAAACGACATCCACTGGTCTGGTTGACCAGAGAATTTACCTAAATCCAATGAAGGCAATTTTATTGTCGGAGGTACAGCCACAGCTTGTGCTGTTGAACTAGCGGTGGACTGATTCAATTGCTCAGATACTGCAGGTGTAGGTATTAATGTGCTACATAAGCTACTAATATTTATGTACAGGTCAGATATTTTATCTTGAAGTTCGGTTACCTTTTCATCTACGATGTCTTCAGGTAGGGGAGTTGTAGAGAACAACTTATTAACAATTTTTTCAAATTCTGCATGTTTTTGAGAAGCTGCAGTTGAAAGTAACTTTATTCTATTTATTTGTTGATCATTTAAAGATTCAAGGGCTTGAACAGTACTTAATGTTGTAACTTGCTTGTCAATACTACTAAGTCTTTGTTCAATAAGTTGACTTTGCTTGACAAAAGATAAAAATCTCATTTTGGAATAGAATAGTCAAACACACAATAAAACTCAAAAGGTCTGTATAAACTCCACCTTGGAATTTATAAATTAAAGTTATTTCTTCACTAGAAATTTCAATAACTTATTTTGCAAAGTATTTGCAATATAAAATCACACTAAATTATTTACATTTTAATTTTCTTTCCAGAAGTTCCAGAAGTATCATTTAATACAATAATGATCAATCGACAATATTACTGTACAAAGCAATCAGCTGTTTTCGTGATAGATGAGAATCAATAACATTTGTAGATAATCAGAACAAGGAAAGGAAGGATAATTATTTCTGGCTACACAATGAATATCCTGGAATGCAAACAGAATGCTGAGAGGGGAAGGGGGGTATGTCTGCTAGAGATAAGGCTCATGAAATGGCTGAGATATAATCATGAATATTTAAAATTGGACATGAAACTAGACTTTCACTTTTGTGCATGTTTGGAAATGAAATATGAAAAATCATCAAACTTAAATATGTTTGATTTTGAAAATATATAGTACAATGTCCTATGATTTAAAAAAATCAATAAAACAACACTGGCTTATTTAATAAATGTTCACAAATTATAAAAATGTGTTTGTGATAAAATAAAAAATGTATTTCACAATGAAATTAAATCTTAACAATTCTTTAAATATTTCCAACGCGCTGAGTTTATCCGTCCGGCTCGAAGTACCAAAAATGTGGGGAATTTATGTTAATTAGAAAGCAATGTGGACTGTATTAAAGTAATTTTGAATTGGATACACTAACCTTTTGTTATTAAACTGATGCGTAGACTGGGGGCCCCCTTTGATGAATCCTGAAATGCTATAATGTTGATAAGTTCACTTTTTCACACTATATGATGTTAAAAAACACTTCAATTGTCTTTATAATAAGTTATAAGCCAGCGGTAAATATTTATGTTGGTAAAGAGGTTTATGGTATTTGAAAATGTAGGAGAAAAGGCATGTTAAGTCCTCATAGCAACAGGACTTGCCCAAGAGTGTGCCACTACTCTACTGAAGGAAGGAGTTGGTCATGTGATACATATCAGTGACCAATCAGAGAGCTAGTCTTGAAACCATTGGGGTTTGAAGATACTGATGCACTCTATGAGGAAAACATTTAACTATTTGAAATGGTATTTAAATGGAGATTGTGGTGAAATCAGTTACATATTATTAGAGTGCATTAAAATTAAAAATTAATATAAGAATACTTAGAACAAAACAGTATATATATTTGACACTAACCTTGTTCTTACTAATACCTTACCCCAGAATATTTTGTATTTTACGAGAAACTGATAAAACCCATTTTAACAACTATTTTGTATTGTAACATTGTAACATAATTGGTTTCGTTAGAGTAGTAAGTGAAGAAAGAACAAAGTCATAAAGGGTTTCTTAATTGTAATATTTTATTACTTTTATTCCACCATTAAAAAAAATTAAAATCAAAATTTAAATTATATTTGATCAGAAACCTCAGTGTAAAATATCCGCCGTCAGTTAATATTTATTAATTGTGGTACCCAAACTCGGTTATTCACAGCGTTATTTTTACACTTTTATTACTTGTACAAAGGTTCATGAAAATTGATTATTAAAATGCCTTACAACGTTTTAGTTGAGAGTAAAGGGCTGGATAAAGTGCATCGTCCTGGCCGCGACAATGCTAAGATGTGGCGCAGCGAGACGCTTAATCCCACACGACGCCTGCAAAATCTAAAACGCAACCCCGGTCGTTGGCTCGGGTCGCGGAGCCTAGCAGCCGATCCAGTTAGTTTTATACATCGATGGTCGCACTTTGTCCGGAATGTCCTTCAAGCTAAAAAGAACGATCTACATCGGAACATAGTCTAGATTTTATAAGAAATAAACGGCCGTCCCTCAGGCGTAGGCAAACTCGGCCTAGTTCTGATGAAGTGCGACAAGTGTTCCCAGGCTAGTGTCCGAAGAGTAAAGGTTTTTAGTGGGTAGTCCCTGGGCCTTAAGCCCGTTGGAGTCCCAACACTACAGGCTAGCTACCTGTGTGCATAAATGCATTTTCCCACCTCTCCCTAAAAAAAAAAAATTGAAACGTTGCCGTTTGTACAACTGAACCAAGATTAAACCATAACCATTTAAATTATTTTAAATGTCATTATTGCACAATAATAATGATTGTGCAATATTGAATTTTGTTGATAAAAATGCAAATCGTGACGTTAATGGTAATCTGTTTTTATACTATATTGGATTAACCGTTTTTTCACTACCGCCCCCCCCCCCCCCCTATTAACTCAGGTAATCGAGTATCTACACAATACCCAGATAGCACAAAATGTGAAAATAACGTTTTTTTCACGTGAAAAATAGTGAAAATGTAAAAGTGAAAATACAAATATTTTTTCACGTGAAAATTACGTAAAAGTAAAAAATTAGTAAAATTGAAAACGTGATTATCACGTATAAATTTCACCTTTAACAAATTTTTAATTTTCATGTGAATGTCCCCTAGAACCACAAAGAAAACCTAATTTTGAAAAAAAATGACGTGAGCTTAAATAGTTTGCCATGATTGTGTTATGAAATAACAACTAAAATGTAAACAAAAGCTAAGTTATTAAAATGTAAAAAAAACAATATCTGCTAGTAATATCATTGACTATATATACCTACTGGTAATATTTACTTAATGCTGTTTATATAACTTGAACAGTTGGTGAAGCATATGTCTTTCCATAGGTATAATAAATGAGTTCAACTAAAACTTAAAAATACTATATACAATGACGAGTCTCGACGACTCTCACCACCGCCAGCACCACTCTCGCTCGCTTTCGTTTCGTCGCTCGCGAGTCGCTCATACGCTGTCTGCACGGGCACGGCCGTCGGCGCCGTCGCTGTCTGCTGTCTCGCCTCGCCATCTTGTTTTCTTTTACTTTTACCTTTACCGGCTTTTGTTTAAGGCGTATGAAAGGTTTTTGTTACATTTCAGTTGTTAGTTTTATTTGTGTTATAGTTACTGTATATGCATTTGTAATTAATTGTTGTGTGTTATTGTTATTTATACCCATCTGTATTGGGATTGTTTAGCGTCTCCACTTACTGAGCTACAGCGTATAAGTTAGGTTAAGTGGTTAGGTAGATTGAAGTGGCTAAAGAAACAACATATTTCTCATCAAGGTAAGACATTTGATTACTTTGTTATAATTTATTAAGCTTAGTAGCCTACTTATTAATTAATACTTTATGTTTATAGTAAACTTGCTATAAAAAACCTCATAAACTTCAGTCAGGCCTACGTATTCAAACAAGGTACGGTAACTTACCTTACCTTGACCAATTATTTAGTAGGCCTACCATAGATTAATCACTCCCTTAGGAAGTACTGTATAATTATTCTGGCCTATGATAGTAGCCTATCTTTGCTTAGTCCTGATAAACATATTGTTTTCTTGGGTATATTTTATTTAATTTCTCTATATGGGAAGAAGATATTTACCAAATAAGGTATAACTTAGGCCTACATGGTAAAACCTAAACCTGTGACCATGATACATTTTTGTTTGTAGGTTCCCAGATACCAAAAAATACCTTATATTCTGAGTATAAATATTAATGTGTTCGTAAAAACATGCAAATTGCTAGAAAAATGGCAAAGATAAATGTACCTAATTAATTAAAACAAAATGTTCGTTCTCAGCATTTTGTTGAACGACCTTTTACCTTTTATATTTTTAGCAAACTATTCAGCTTTGACCAAATATTTTTAGATCCTTGGCAATAGCCTAGTTAATTTTATGCCATTTTCAAAAGGTACAATGTAGCCTACTATATAGTTTTTCATGCTAATAATTTCATAATTCTTCATACTCAGTTAGGTATTATTAGTTCTTATTCGTATACTAAATTTAGAGCCCCCGACCATTACCCTACATTAGCCTACTCCTTTTCTAATATTTTGTAAAGAGTGGAACATTTTGTAACATTGTTTCAGGCTGATTTTCCTTGCACGAGGTGGTGGAAAAAACATGCCAGACGCTTGCAGGAGGGCACTGCGCTCTTGCTTAACGGACGAAGTGGCTTGCCAATTCAGTTGGGCCAGGACAAAAAGGCAAACGAGTGTTTAATGCTCTGTATTTGAAAATTGCCATTTTCAGTAAGTACTTTAACAGTAATTTCTTAAAAATATAACTATAGTATACTAAAGCCAAATCTTCCAAGTGCTTCAAGGTCAAATTTGAACTTAGGATGCGAACAGATAAATCACATTTGGACTTCAAATCTCTTAGTAATTTGACTGCACTCCCATGAGCTAACCATAAATACTTGCAGTCCCACAAATTATCTCTAACTGTCTACACTAACAGCTGTAATGTGAAACAGTTGGTATATAAACGCTTCCCGATCGTAACACCCCCCACCACCACGCCGTACCGATGGCGTGACGTTAGTCTCTTCTCTTGAGGGAACACCATTACCGCAACGATACGGATTAGAGCCATGAGCCTTGGTGGTGTTGTGGATAACGTGTCGGGCTGATAATCTGAAGGTACTGGGTTCAAATCCTGCTGGGTAGCACTAACTTTTGTCAACATTTTTTTCATATCAGCAAGTTTGGTTAGGTTATGACAGTTTAATTTCATAATTAAAAAATTATAAAATTGAATTTGAGACAATTAGGCCAATAGTTTTATTTTTAGAACATAGGCTAACTATTTTTTTCGATTAGTAAACCTTCAATAGAGTTTTTCATTATCAACAAACGATAGGCGTTTTAACAGTCACAGTGATAGAGATAACAATTTGCAGTAAACAGTTAGGCTATGCTGATGCGCCGGTATGAGAAGCGTACGTCATGGTGCGGTGGAGGGGGGTGTTACGATCGGGAACATCTCGTTTTGGTATGACCATTTGATTTCCATCACAGAAGAGGAAATATGCTGAAATAACCTCTTTAATTTAACTTTTTACCAATTTTAATAGAGGGAAATAATGTTGAATTAAAACTTTTTAAATGTTTGTAAGTAAATTCAGGGTGTCCACAGTCTGGAAAGTCAGGGTTAGTCATGGAAAGTCATGGAAAATAATTCTGGTAGCCTAATTGAAAGTCATGGAAATCCCCAATGATGGATGGATTTGAGGGGACTTTTCAATACTCTAGTCAGCCGTAACCCAGACTATTGTACCATTTTCAGGATTTTTCACAAATGTACGACAATTTAATTTATTACAGTTATGAATTTATGCAGTTGAGTTTATGAATTTTGAGTTTGTATTAGTTCATTGTGTGAAGTTCAATCCTTAAAATAATTTATTTTACTATATTTAAAATTTGTTAGTGAATCAAGTTTGTTTCAAATTAGGAGGGATTCTTAAGCAGTTTCTGGACGCCAAGGACAAAGAGATCGAGGGAGTCATTAAAGATTGGCTTAAACCGACTGCTGACTGCTGAGATAAGAGAAGTCAAAGTAAGTTTAAAATTTTATGTAATAAACACATTCACTGTGGGCGTTTCTGATCGGATACGGGCCGAGTGCTGTTCAGGTGCTGCTGTAACCGATCGGATACGCTCGGCAATGCCTTTTGTATATCTTTGTTTTTGCTCTAGCGTCAGTCGAAGGCGGGCCTATACCGCGTTAGTGTGTAGTGGGTGACTCGCTTTTTGTTGTGTTGTGGGTTGGTAGTAAAATATCCCCATAAAATCCCCGTCTGGCAAACTTAAAAATCTACTTGTTGTCCTGTCTTTCTCCTTCCAATCGGCAATACAATTGGACTGGCTACGTTCTAAGCAGTGCTGCTCTCTGTGGGTGTTTAGCGAATTACGTTGACTCTTGTTATAAAGCAGGACATCACCGCACGTTATTTGCTATTCGTCATACCGAAATATGAAAGCCAATCAACCGGCAATCGGGTTTGTTTGACGCTGCGGGCTGCGCCGCACTGGGGCTACGCCTGCCATTTGATGGGCCGCAGCGAACGTGTTAAGGGTTACTAGGTTAAAAGCTAACTAAAATATTTATAATGCAGTATTATTGTATAGCTTAAATGGGAATAGGGTAGGCGTGTTCACTTTTCTTCTTCATGTGAATTTCCTGGAAGGTTAGGGATAGAATTATCCCGTCCCTAATAGCCCTGCAAACAAGGACATTGTAGATTGGAATGTTCAAGTTCTTTGTTTATTAAATGCAGTAGCCTAAATACTGGTTTTATAATCAAACAAACAATGAAATTTACAAAGTTCATTCATTTAATCTAAAACTAATGTTCTTGTACTCAGTAAAACAGCACAGCCGCTAATTGACTATACTATATGTTTAGTGAAAAGTATATAAAATACCTCCACTATACTTCAACCGCTTATTTCTAACTAAATAATCCAACTGTATGTGTCACTTGGTGCCAATAAACTAATGTTTTGTATTTTTTTTACAGGAAAAGAGGAAATGAAGAGGACAGTGATGACAATGTTGATAATACAGTGTACAATCAGTAGTTTATAATTTGTAAACAACTTCATTAAACTTCTAAATGTATTACCAATTACCTTAATTGTTTTTAACTATTCCCATTTAATCATTAGTAGGCTATTGCTATGTAATTGGCCAGTTCAGCCTTTTATTTCATCAAAAACAACATCCAAGTTTTTTATAAAATTTTTAAGTGCTTACATGTCACTTTAAATTATATTTTTTTGTAATTTCTTTCTTAATTAAATGGAACGACCAATAATTTAATAGCATAATTTAATTTTGTGAATTTGATGTGCAATTATTAAGATTTTTATAAATGCAATAGATTGATAACAAAAAAAAATGGTGAGGTTTTATTTAAAATATATTACAATTTTGCAAATGTTGAGTCATAAATAAATAAAATTGGTGAATTTGAACTAAAAAATATGTATATATGTGGTGAATTTCCAAGGAAAGATATGTGAAAATCTGGTGAATTTGTAATAAAAATTTGCTAAAACTAGCAATATAGTTAATTTTACGTTAACATGTCATAAATATGGTTTATTTTAGGAAAACAATTTTTAGTAAAAAATATGCAAAAGGAAAAAAAATGGTGATTTAAAAACGTGAATTTCACGAGATTTTTTCACGTGATTTTTTTCGTTGACATTAGTGCACTTTTCACGTTATATTTACATGAAAAAAACGTGATTTTCTCCATTTTTTCACGTGAAAATAACGTTAAAATGTGAAAAACAAAATGTGATTTTCACGTGAAAATAACGTTTTGGTGCTATCTGGGTAGTGTAAAGTACTGTAGCCTATGCTACTTGATTGCATTCTAACGAGCTTTATGTCAACAAAGCGGTCTGTGCTGAGTCACGGTGTATCTGGACGTGTCTGTACCACGCGTTATCTTTATCTATCTCAGCAGTTGAGCCATTCCGTGCCCTCCCTCCCTCTTAGATCTCACGTCTTGCTAATCTTGAATAATAACTTCCTACACGAAACCTAAACCATCCTAAAATCCTATTTTAACAAATTGAATTCAATAAATAACTGTTGTAATTTATGAATTGACTTTCTATCTAGTGCCTTCGTAATATATTTTTGATTGTCGTCACGTTGAACACTGTTGCAATTAACTTTAACTACCCCCCCCCCCCCAAGAATTTCAATGACGCAGTCTGCGCCACAGCCCCCCCTTGTGGGCACCCCTGCATTAAAACATAAATTATAAAATTTAAAACTGCACAGTGTATGGACGACACTGTAGGCTTTGTTTATTTTGACAATTAAAAAATTCAGCAACACAGCTAAATTTTTAGGAATAGACGTAGATTGTTTTTCGAATTGGAAGAATCACATTCATAACACCTCTAAAAAGCTAAATTTAGTATGTTTTCAAATTATGGTTGTAACAAATGTTGTTTAATTAAATAGGCCTACAAGACTAATGATTTATCATGCCTTAATTTCAACAATTTGACAGTACGGAATAGAGCATTGGGGCATTACCTCTTTGATTCGTATAAATTTTTTTAAACTACAAAAAATAATTCTCAGTACTTTTAAACCTGCAAAACATTCTTAAAAACAACTTTTTAAAGACCTACAGATTCTAACTGTCCCTTATTTGTAAATTCTTAAAAAGTTTATTATTATTGTAGGCTATGTGATATCAAATTTTGAAAAACTCCACAGTAAAAATAATTGGTGCAATTACAACAGATTTCAAACAGATTTACAATATCCTGTACACATATTAAATCTTGTGGAAAAGACAACTTCTTATATGGGTAAAAAATTTACAACAACTTGCCAGGGTCTAATCAATAAGAGGATGTAGTATCTTTTAAAGAAAAAAATTACTTAGTTAAATTATTGTTGAAGAAGAATTATTATAGTATTAACCAGTTTCTTGAGAAATTAACATGATTTTTTTTGTTTTGTTGGTTTGTATTTATTTTTACTATAGGCTACAGTAGTTTATTTCAGTATAGATTGACAATGTCACCTGTTTTGTCTGGCTGTGCCAGAGCATTGTAAAAGAAAACATTTTGTGACAATAAAGATGACTTTGACTTTGATTATTAGAACATTAGATGAACTTTAAGTAAAATAACCACAATATTTCAATCAGAAATATATTAATTCAAATATATTATTTGAATTTGAACACCATGGGGTACTACCGGTTGGGTAGCTTATTCCATGTATGGAAAATTCTCTAAAACCCTAAAATTCATTATGTAAATCCATAAATAAGGCTAATACAATAACCCTAATCATGGGAATGCACTTTAAGAGTTTAACAAAGTTTACTTACTAGTCAAAACAATGATCTGCTATAGGATTGGAATGAGCTCTTTGCCTGTAAAACTTCTTCTTAGGTAGAGGTTTTGGAGTGGTCAAACTTGATTTATCCATTTCCTAAAAAATTAAATATTTTTGTTAAATAAATAGGTAGCCGTATTTAGGCCTAGATCAAACTTACGAATTACATATAAAATAATTCATTAGTTAGATACAGAATGCTACTTGGTGGTTTTTAACACTGAGCCAATGAGTAGACAGCAGCTTCAGATTGCTTCGTTATGAAACCAATATTTACACTGTTTAATTTGAAGCTAGAATGGTAAATTCTGTTTTTATGGTTGGAAGTTCGCATCAATATTAGTCGGTTAAGTGGTTTTAGTCTGAGATGATGTTTTAGTCCAATGCTTGTTATCAGTAGTTTCCGTGCCGGTGATTACCATGGTTGTAGATAGGCCAAGTTACACAGGGCCAGCTCATGGCCTGTCTTGGACTTGGTTGGCTTATCCAAAAAAAGTTTAAGCAGTTTGCAGGAGGAGAACGAATCCCTGAAGTGTGAAATAGCATCAATGAAGAGGAAAGAAAGTATGATGTTTAGCAAGGTAGTTCCAGAATATGTGGTTTTTCTTTGTAAATACATGTGTTCAGGTGACTCCACAGGGAAAAGTCACTCATTGACAAGTCTGTTGAACGCAGTGGCCACACAATATCACCCAACCATGAGATCATAAGCCCAGGAAATAACACTCAAACTGGTGCCTTAGAGGAATTGGCCGTGCAGTAGCCCCATCTTGTTTCAACCATGTGTTCTTGACGTCGATTTTCTACCCTTTAAGTTCTGGAATGAAAAAAGTCTCTTAACATGTTCACCTATCGTGCAGAATAATTAACAGTAACAGGATTTTTTTTTCAACAGCACACTAAACTGTGTTCCAGGAGTTTTTGTTTTCACATCTGATCCTTTAGTTCTAAATAAGAAGCCCTCCTTAAAATTGTATTCTGACTCGGAATTTCACCATGACGACCAAGTATCGTTGGCAGGGTTGCCACCATAGTGGGATGATAAAATTCATACAGAATTCATGGTTTTCATTGGTAGCTTATAAAAATTCATGGTCGATGCGCTTATACAATTTCAATACAATTGAGTTTTGCTGATTTCATAAACTGACGTTAAAGAGGCAGTTTTGTGTGTTACTTTTGAATAACCTTTCCTACCTAATATACAACTTTTTAGAGTGATTTATAAACATTCAATTCAAAGTTGAAAACAAAACAGGTCCAGCTTGTATTCTAAGTAACTATATGAGATATTAGAGAAGAATTGTAAAATATATTAAGTATAGGTATAATTCAGTCTTTCCACCTCAATAAAACAAAAATCCCACTCACCCAGCCAAAAAAGTCCTGTTTTATCCCCCTACATAATTGTCATAAAATGTACATTCTGGTTTATCTTATTCCACAACATACTAAGATATGATGGTATTCAAAAAGCTAAAAAAAATCAGACATCAGAGTCGGAAATTTGGTTTTATTGCACATACCGTTTCAATTCAGTGCATGGTCTAAAACAACAGTTTTTGTGATTTAAGTCTCCATACCCCTTTTTCATACGCTGGGTGGGAGGGGGGGGGGTAGGCCTACTAATGATTTTTCGAACCATGTACAGTCCTCGGGAAGTCTCAGCTGACATCAGCATCTTTGGATGACTTGGAATGAACTAAGCAATTGTTTTAGATCGTGGAACTTGGAAAATTGAATGGTACTGGTTGAATAATTTTTCCTGATTTTGAAAATTCATGGTCCATTGGAGAAATACATGCATAATCCATGCCTTTTTTCATGGTCACAAGAATTCATGCATAATTAAAGCTTTTCAAGGTTTTCATGGCTGGTAGCAACCCTGGTTGGGTTTTTACTCTTGACCCACCACGTTAAATTTCACAGTTGACTCACAACTTTTTACAAAAGCATCGTATGTATGCCAACATGCAATTATCTTTTGTCCACAGTGGCATGATGGTGACTAAATGGCATTGGATGGGGTGCTGAATAAACTTACATCCGATTTTCTCCCCCCAGTCGCCGAGAAATATACAATTCAAAAGTGTCTGTTTCCCGTTAGCCACCCTGTACATTGATTAAGGAAACAAGATAGATTCTATAGCCATTGTCTGTGTTAATCTAAGCTCTGTCTCAAAATTAACATTTTAAGCGACTTATTTTATTGATATAGCCTAGATATTATTTGTATAAACAGTACCGTAGGTAAATTATTAGATTTAGCCTACCTATATAATTTGAATTATTTTGATAGTTTTTGTTTACAATTTGAAAGTACTTAGGCCTACCAGTGTTTGTATTAGACCATAAAATATAGATGTTTTTTCTTCCAAAGAAAGAACTTTATACACATACTAGCCGCTATACCCGTGCCTTGCAACGGGGTCAATATGCGGAAGAGACAATTTTGGTTCCTTGAAAATAATGGCAAGCAGCTTGAGAACACTAAATAGAACAATTATTATGTTCCCTAGATCTGCTGTATGTAGATAGACTTTTATTAATTTACTATTAGTAAATACCGGATACACAAACATAACTGTAAAAAATCCTTCCATTCCATGTATCACAGCTTTTTATTTCTACTTGGTACAAATTAGTTGATGTCCTAAATTAAAAAAAAAATAATAATAGTGCTGCACCCTGTTGGTAAACCTATTAACTTTTTAATGCTATTAAACATCTTAGAATTAAATTGTTTAGTTGAAACACCTGTTAAGATTTTTTAATTCCATTTTAAATATAAGCATAGACTAACCAACACAAGTAGACTTCTCATCCCATTGTAAATTTTGAAGCACGTTTTTCGTGTCTAGTTCATGTACGTGAAACAAAGGCGCTAGTGTCGATGAAACTTTGTTTCAATTATTTTAGGGTTAATTTCTTGATTTCTGCTTTACTGTTTGGTTATATAACTAGGGGACAAGTTATTGTTTATGATTAGATCGTATTATTTGGTTAAACGAGGTTTTAAATGGCTGTAATAACGGGAAACAAATTGTAAACAAAACACGACCTCTACATAAACCGTACATGAACTAACAATAAAATTGTCTTCAGCTGTTCCATAAGGATGAGAAATCTACTAAGGGAGTATGTTTTATCTATGATATAAGTAGGCCTACTCATAAGGTTAACATGGAGAAACTCCAGAGCCACTGGGGCGGAGCCGATTGGACGGATCATGAAATTGATGGTGTATAAACCTATTCCATGAAATTCTACACGTATGTACAAAGTTTTGTGGCAATCGGTCCAACGGTGTCTGAGCTCATAACGTTCAAATACGGGGTACTCAAAAGTTCCCTGGATAGCTCTGCCGTGGGCGGAGCTTGCGTAGTACAAATTCTCACCTCTCATTGGAGAGTACTTTGAAGGTGATAAGGTTGTTTTGTAAAAAAAAATATATATCTATATTTTAAACGAAATTCCGGTTATTTTTGGGTACCCTCTCGTATATATACAAGGTGAGTTTTAAATGAGTTTCCCCCCTACTTTTTTCTACATTTCTTAAGATATCAACTCCAGACCACGTCAGATCATTGTAGAGTAGTAAGTACTTCATTTTGACGGGTATACATTTTTGGCCGCCATCTTGGGTACGCCATATTGGATACAAAATTATTTTTTCAAATGTAAAGGTAGGGTTGTGACCCATTGTTTCAAACTAGATTTGTACGCTGAATCCGATGCTCCAATTCGTTTTTAGAAATCTTGATCTATTCTAAAGTTATGAGAGCTTTTCATAACTTTATTTTTAGCCCATTTTAACATTATGCAGTTACAAACTAAGACAATAATCACAAAATAGTGCTAGATAAAGATAAGTATACACCACCAGTCATTGTCAACATATTTTCGCTTGATTATGAGGGATGTATTTTTTTCAGCCGCCATCTTGGATCCTCCATTTTGAAATGAGCTAAGTTATTTTAAAAATAAAGGTGGTGTTGTGACCCATCATTTTGAATTATTTTTTTATGCTGAACTCAATGCCGCAATCAGTTTTTTGTTATCAAGCTTTCTTGATGAAATATTACAACTATTTTAATTAAAATGTCAATATTTCAAAATTAAAATATAAAAATGAAAATTGGATTCATCCTGTTATGACGGAAATCTTTTTTCTGCCAAATATGTAGGCCTATTATTTTTATTTGACTCATATTTTAATTTGTTCGGCAGTGCTTATCAGGATCGTACATCATTGATTCATTAACCATAAGTTCTATTGTCATAAGTTATATTGATAATTAATTAGTTGCTGAAATGTGTTGTTTAATGAGTTGTTAGTTAAAAAAAACCCTAGCTAATGGAATTTTATTTACACTATGAATAACAAAGTGTAGCCAACTATTACCTTTTTAATGCTATTGAACATCACAGAATCAAATTGTTTATTTTAGACACCTGTTAAGATTCTTTAATTCCATTTAAATATAAGTAGGCCTACTCGTAAGGTTAACATGCAGAAACTCCAGAGCCTCTGGGTCGGAGCCGATCGGGGTCGCCGGATTTCTACCCCCGGATATTTAACCCCATGAAAAAACGCCTACGTCATTTTGACGTCACGAGGGGCGGGGCCTATACACGGTCGAGAAACAGCCCGCGACTGGAAATCTACCCCCGGACATCTACCCCCATACATCTACCCCCGGACATCTACCCCCGGAAATCCACCCCCGGACAACCATCCCCCGTGGTCAGCTCTGTCACTTATCGGCCAATATTCATTGTTGTAATTTATTTTATTGACTGTTTTATGTAAATCAACGGCTCTTCGGTTAGTAATTGCCCTGTAATATCTAGTATTACGCATGTGATATGTCATTGTCTTGTTTAACATTATCTATCTTCCTAATGAAATAAGCTGTAACAGCCCTTTTTCACCCGAACTACTTCACAGATTTTTATGATTGAGGTGTAATTTTAAATCTTAAGATCTAGCGCAACGTAAAATGGTAATTAAAACGATATTTTGATAAAGGGCATCAAAAGTTTGACCCTTAAGCAAACCTTTAAAAGTTCCCTTCCCAGATTTGTTTACATTA